AATTATGTTATACATCCTTTATACCAGTAAAATTTATAATAAACTTATACATGTATATGCCATACATGTATACATTTTTTCCACAGACCCAGTTGTTAAACATTTATAAACACACCACCATGTTCTGCCCATTATTTTCTCATAGGTACTTACCCCAATAAATCTCATACTCATCTAATCTTGCCTTGCCCTCTGCTTCTTAAGGACTTAAATGAAACAATTTGAAGGATAAATTTATTCTAGAAACAAAATTTAGAAATTTTGGGTCTATAACACATTTATTTACTTTTTATAGCAGCTATTTAATTAGTGTTTACTGACAAATGAAGAAGGATACAGAATGTTATATACCCAATTTCCCTTTACAAACTATTTCATGAATATTAAGGAGCAATACAACTGACATTAAAGCTTGAAGAAAACATTTTTTCCTTATGCCTAGAAATATTGATTTCACTTTTCAAATGGAAATTAAATAATGTTTTTTGTTTATTCTTTTAGACTTACTCGATTTGTGGAAGAGTTGTAGTTAATATCTAGGAACACAAATTATCCTCAATAAATATGAGGTTTGATTAGGAAGTAGGATGATATTCCTGTGGTTCTTGAACCAGAAACATAATGTTCTCACTGGGAACCAGTGAAGATCAATTAGGCACATAATTAGATTTTTTATCTCATGTGCTAGTCACTATATATATGTATCAGTTTGATTACTCCAAGAAGCAGATGTGGAGTAATCACCCACAAAAAATGGAGAGTGAAAGGGAACTGAAGTGGTAAGAGAGAGCCTTCAGATTTGAATGCTGTGAAAAAACAAAAAGAAGGAAGCAATGCTCAGGTAGGAAAAGCCCCACGCCACAGTACAATTCTGAGATAGTTTGGCCTGGGCCAACAGGGTGGCCCTGAGCAAAAGTCACTCACTAGAGGAGCCCTGTCACTAAAAATTACCAGTGCTCTGACCAGTCATTGTTTAGGAGCAGTTGGAGGTTAGTGGCATCAGCTCAAATGGAAAGGCAGATCCTAAAAGGTGGCAGCTAAAGCTTTCAGTCAGCTATGCTCTCCATTGCAAGCTATCTTGAAGGACCTCTGAGTAGAGCACTTTTGTGACTACCCCAATATATAAAGAAGAGTAGTAAAATAATAGTCCCCATCATGAGGATTTTTTTGTTTACAGAGTTCTTGGTCTCCTGTTTTAGATCTCAGTGCTCCCATTGTAATCTCTGAACTTTTGTTTTAATATGAAAGGTAAGATGATGATTCTGCTGCTCCTACTCCAGTACAGTAATGAACATGCCTTTGCAGTGGTTTTCTCTTAGTGAGGATAGATCTGATTTTGGTTTTCTTATGACCTGCAACTCACTGGCAGGATCTGGTGATAGGGTAGATCACGTCAACAATCAACTCAGGCTGGCAGCCTCAGCACACCCAATGTACCAACTCGATTTATCAGCCACTTGCCTTACCCCCTCAGCTTGAATAAAAAAATCTAACTAAATTTTTTCTCACTAGTTTTCTTTGAAGACTAAGTCTTTCTTTGTAAAAAGTTTGAAATAATGATTTCATCTGGCTCTAGGAGGTTATGGGTGGAATATTTGGTTACCTGCAGCTGAAAGCATTCTGATTAACACAGTTGATAAGCAGGAATCTGAGCAGAGGAAGGTGAGTGGTCTTGAGTTGAAGCTTGATAAACCTCTCTCTCCACTCAAGTCTACCATATTTAATGTCTACTTGACACTGTGAGTTCTACTAAATTCTTAAGAGGTATTTTGAAGACCATACTGTATGTTTCTCAGTTATTATTACAGTCCAGTCATATAGACTTAGGTATTCATATAATTTATCATCTAAACTGAAATACTTTTGATAATAAAAGGGAGTACAATATATAATTATAACAAAATGGTAGGTGTATACCTAAACTGTCCCAACAAACCAGGAGTTTTGGCCATCTTATACCTATGCTGAACTTGACTTTTCTCAGATTGCCTCAATCAGTTATTCACAAACAGTTTTCAACTTCTCCAACCTATGTTGTGTTGCTTCTTTCTAGTTTGATTCAGAGAGAGTAAGGGAATTTCACACTTTTCCTGAGATCTCACTTCCAGGGCCTCTTCCAGATACATCAATTACCACATTCTTCTTAGTCAGTAAACCTGCAGGCACATGTTAATGAGCATGTCCATGACTAAACACATGTTTCCTTCCACACAGCTTTGGCACAAGTTCTTGCTGGGTTGAGCAATCTGAGAGCAATGTAAAGTAATATTAACTTTGTTATATCAACAAAAGGGGTGATGGAAAATTTTGAGTTTTTTGTCTTCTACTGTTCAATTAGAATATTTCTTAATTGCACAGTGACTTGAATGAATTTGCCTATTCATTGAGGGTTGGAGGGTAGACTAATAAAGGATGTGTGTGCTGGGAGTATGCACTTGTGTGTGTTGGGAATGTGCAGTTTGGGGAGGCATAGCCCATGAGGCTAGAATAGGGTTCAGGAGGTTTATGGCATTCATTGGTTTGCCAGTGTACACTGCATTTCAAACTCTCTGATCACATTAGCAGCATTTAAATAAATGTTCTTAGTTCTTGTTTTGGTCAAAACATTTATATATTTTTTGTGCAACCAGGTTTACTAGAGATATATGTGGATATTTTTTGTTTTGTTTTTGTTTTTGGCAAAAAAATGACAAAACCACTAATTTGTCATTAATTGTTTACCAAATTAGGAAGGCTTTTGAATTTTTTATTCATGGTTTATAAGGGCAATAGTGAGGCTCAGAACAGAAGAGGAGACACAGGAAGCTTTCCCTCCTTCCCTGCTCCTTAGATCTTCCTCTGCTCCAAGCTATGCAGCTGCTTTGTCCATGTCTTTAAACTTTTATTTGGGGGATATAATGATAAAGTCTTTCAGGACTACATCACAAATGTGAGCACATTTTGAAGATTTATTCTTTTGTCTATGGAAAGAAGGCAAATTATCCCAAACTTTGATGAGGGTTATTTCTGTGGCACATGGGAGCCTGAAGAATTAATGCATTTGTTTTATGTACCATTTGCAATTGGCTACCTTTTCTATAAGTTTTTTTCCCTAATTACAAAATAGTTCCATATTGTTATAGAAACTTTGGACAAAGCAGAGCATACACATACAATATCTGCCATCCCACCAGTCCAATATCACCACTCTTAATATCTGAGTGTATTTTTCTAATCTTTTTTCTATACATACAGATTGACTTTGTGTGTGTATTTAGATACAAGTATTTTGACAAAAATCAGATTACATTGCAAGTTTTGCTTTTAATATTGCACCCTCGAGCTTCTGAAGGGAAGATGCTATACAGCATTCATACTGGGATCTGGTTCCCAGTGGGCTTGTGGGCAAGGAGTGAGGGGAGGAAGACAGCAGGGACCACACGATCTCCAGAAAATGTTAAAGTAGATACTTTAACATGTGGATCTTCCAGCATGTGAAAAAGCCTGGTTTTGCTTGCTGGAATGATGGCAGAGTTCCTCTCTGGGTATAAAAAGATGCTATTTCCCCTTAGAGGCTTAAGAAAGGTTTTTAGAAGTTTAATGTTGATTCAACACATGTGAATTACACATATTTTCAGCTCAGCATGCTCAGAAACATGGAGACACAGTGCCATGCTGACTAGCAGAACATTCAGCTCCCACTTGAGTGGACATTTTGGCAGACAGCCTGGCTGGGCTGTTTGTATTTTAGAGATGGAAAATCCCAGGAAGTCCTTGAAAAAGTGAGTTGATCTGTCTGCTCTAAGGCTCTGCACATGTGAGAGCAGGAGCTAGCCCTTTTAGTCAGAGCATTGTTGACACATGTGACACATGTCTTGTCATATAAGTAAATGTTCTCTTCTGAGCAGAATCCTTTGGCTAGAACAAGTTCATTTGTCAATGAGGAAAAGACCACATTAGCCTTCCCCCAATATCATAATTATCATTCCAGATGTATAATCTTTCATACTTACACATATATATTGATCTAATCCTGAAATTTAATATTACTTCATTTGCTGGGGATTGCAACAGAGGTGGAATGAAGAAGAATTTTTTAGTTCATCAAGGTATTATAAGTGACAGGACCTCATTTTTATTTACATAAAAATGCTCATCTTTATCTAAAAGTCATTGGTGCTCAGTTAAGGGAACTTTGCCTTCCAGAGGCATTTGTTAATGTTAGGAGATATCTTTGGTTGCCACAGTGGGACAAGGCAGTCCTACTGGCATCTAATGTTTTGAGGGATACTGCTGAACACCTTAAAAAGCACAGGATTGCCCCCCACAACAAAGAGTTACTGGCCCTAACTGTCAAATATGCTGAGGTTGAGAAACCCTGGTATAAATTGTGGTAAGACTGAATAAATAGATGAATTAGTCATGTCTTTAACTTTCTGTATTTTATAATGTTCTAGCATCTTAAACCTTGAATCTCTAGCATCTTAAACCTTGAATGCTCTAGCATCTTAAATCTTGCTGGCCACAGAAAGACTGCCTTTCTCAGGGTTGCCCTTTCTGACAGAGAACAAAATGCTTGACTGCTATCATCTAAACTAATCCTGCATCTGTTCTCTGAACCACTTCCTTATCTGTCATACATAAAATCATATTTCCGCTGTTCTAAATCATTCTAGAGCCAGGTACCAGGCAACTAGGGACCACATCTACAGACTAATGCCCTCTAGAATTATTCAGACTAGCCAGTCTTAAACTGTTTAACCACTTCTTCCTTGCCTTACCCATGGAAACCTCATTAAAGGCTCTGGCTTAGACTTTCCCTTTTGTTCTGTGTTCTGCCACTTGCTCAAAACCTGGTGCTACCTCTGTGGCTCTGCATGGCATGTGGTGACCCTGCAACCCCTGAGACCTCATTTTTAGATGAATGGGTAATAAAAACAATTTAGTCTTCCCACCTTCACATCTGGCCTATTTCTGGGAAAATCTACTCTTTAAAAGTAGCAGAGAAAGAACCCACATACTTTTTCAGGGCGCTCCTTCCCTGACGATCTTCTTCCAGTTCCCGGTAACAAGTCTGTTTGCTAATTTCTTTTTCCCAGAAGCTTTTGAGCTCATGACACGTTTCACAGCAAAAGACTTCCCGACGGATGTATTGATTATTCATCCCCTAAAAAACAAACAAACAGAGCAAAAAACAAATCCCAGCCCTTCAAATAAAGCCATTCTAATTTCAGAGTGGTGAAAGATGAGTTCGAACCAAGACATTGCCATTTACATTTTTTGTGGCTGTAGACAACTCAACTCACATATTCACTATGAGTCTATTTCCTCAATTGTAAATGGGAATAATAATAGTTATGTCAGAAAATATTGCAAAAATTTTGAAATGAACAAAAAAAATGTCTAGTAATACTTCCATGTTGTCTGATTATTATAAGAGCTGGCCAGTTTTATTATCTTTGAGCTAGTTTACAACTTAAAATATAGAAAATAATATGGTAGCTCAAATCATTCTTGAACATAGAAATTTAAATAAATCTTGACCAATGGAATGTAGTTAATATCCCCATAAATATCAACCAATTTTTCAAATACTTGTAAATTCATCTCAGTATTCTTGATTGCCTATTATGTGTGTTTTTTCTTGAATTCTCCTTTGAATCAGTTGAATTATCTTACTAGTTGCCTCATTAATTATGTTTAATAAGATATTTGACATTTTTATTGCTGTTCTCTACAATTGTCTGCATTTTCCCCCACCACTTCCCCCAACTCCAGCCATCTCTACCTCCCTCCCCTGATCCCAGCCCCACTTGGCTTTTTGTCCATGTGTCCTTTATAGTTGTTCCTGAAAACCCTTCCCCCTTTGTCCCCCATTATCCCCTCCCACCACCCTTCTGGTTACTGTCAGTTTGTTCTTCATTTCAATATCTCTGGTTGCATTTTGCTTGCTTGTTTGCTTTGTTGATTAGTTTCCACTTATAGGTGAGATCATATGGCATTTGTCTTTCACTGCCTGGCTTGTTTCACTTAGCATAATCCTCTTCAGTTCCATCCATATGGTCACAAAGGGTAGGTGCTCCATCTTTCTTCTTGTTGCATAGAATTCCATTGTGTAAATGTACCAGTTTTTTTATCCACTCATTTATTAAGGGGCACTTAGGTTGCTTCTAGTACTTGGTGATTATAAATTGTGCTGTTATGAACATTGGGGTGCATAGGTTCTCTTGAATTGGTGTTTCAGGATTCTTAGGATATAATCCCAGCAGTGGAATTGCTGGGTCAAAAGGCAATTCTATTTCTAGTTTTCTGAGGAAATTCCATACTGTTTTTCACAGTGGCTGCACCAGTCTGCATTCCCACTAACAGTGCACTAGGGTTCCTTTTTTTTTCTCTCCTCTCCAACATTTGTTTGTTAATTTGTTTATGATGGCCATTCTGACCAGTGTGAAGTGTTTTCTCATTGCAGTTTTAATTTGCATCTTTCTAATGACTAGTGATGCTGAGCATCTTTTCATGTTTCTGGGCCCTCTGTATGTCCTCCTTGGAGAAGTATCTGTTTAGGTCTTTTGCCAACTTTTTAACTGGGTTGCTTGTCTTCTTAGAGTGGAGTCCTGTGAGTTTTTTATATATTTTGCAGATCAAACCCTTGTCTGAGGTATCATTAGCAAATACATTTTCCCATAAAATGGTCCTCTTTTCATTTTAATGCTATTTTCTTTAGCCATGCTAAAGAATTTTAATTTGATGAGGTATCATTTGTTTATTCTTTCTTTTATGTTCCTTGTTTTTGGAGATACATTAGTGAAAATGTTGCTGCGTGAAGTGTCTGAAAATTTCCTGCAGTTGTTTTTCTCTAGGACTTTTATGGTATCATGAGTTATATTTAAGTCTTTTATGCACATTGAATTTATTTTTGTGTATAGTGTAAGTTGGTGCTCGAGTTGCCTTTTGCATGTAACTCTCTGGTTCTCCCAACACCATTTGTTGAAGAGGCTATTTTTACTGTATTTTATGCTGCTGCCCCATTTGTCAAATATTAATTGACCATAGAGACTTGGGTTTATTTCTTGGCTGTCTATTCTGTTCCATTGGCCTATGTGTCTGTTCTTATGCCAGTACCAGGCTGTTTTGATTACAGTGGCCTTGTAATACAGTTTGATATCAGGTATTGTGGTCCCTCCTACTTTTCTCTTCTTTCTCAAGATTGCTACAGCTATTCGGGGTGGTTTATGGTTCCATATACACTTTTGAAGTGTTTGTTCTATGTCTGTGAAGTATGCCATTGGTACTTTAACAGGGATTGCATTGAATCTGTATATTGCTTTGGGTAGAATGGACATTTTGATGATGTCAGTTCTTTCAATCCATGAAATGGTACATGATTTCACTTGTGTTTTCCTTAATTTCTTTCTTCAATATTGTGTAGTCTAGGTCTTTTATCTCTTTGATTAGGTTTATTCCTAGGTTCTTTATTTTTCTTGTTGCTATATGAAATGGGATTTTTTCTCATTTCTGTTTCTGATATTTCATTGTTGGTATACAAAACTGCCTTTGATTTCTGAAACTTTGTATCCTGCTGTTTTGCCAAATTCACTTATTAGGTTGATTCTTCTTTTGGTGGAGTCTATAGAATTTTCTATGTACACAATCATGTCATCTACAAACAATGACAGTTTCCCTCCCTCCTTTCAAATTTGGATGCTTTTTATTTTCTTTTCTTGTCTGATTGCTGTGCTTAGGACTACCAATACTATGTCGAATAGAAGTGCTGAAAACTGATATCCTTATCTTCTTCCTTATCTTAGTGGGAAAGCTTTTAGTTTTTGCCCATTGAGTATGATGTTGGCTCTAGGTTTCCTGTTTTTGTCCTTTATTATGTTGAAGGACATAATAAAGCTTTATCATGTTCCCTCTATTCCCACTTTGCTGAGTGTTTTTATTATAAATGGGTGCTGTACCTTATCAAATGCTTTTTCCACATCTATTGATATGATTATGTGATTTTTTCCTTTTGTTTGTGTGATATATTATGTTAATTGATTTGTGAATACTGTACCATCCTTGCATCCCTGGGATGAAAACTATTTGATCATGATGTATGATCTTTTCAATATTGCTGGATGCAGTTTGCCAATATTTTGCTGAGGATTTCAGCATCTATGTTCAGCAGCAATACTGGTCTGTAGTTTTCATTCATTCTTGTGTCTTTTTCTGTTTTGGGGATTAGGATTATTGTGACTTCATAAAAAGAGTTTGGGAGTCTTCCATCTTCTTGGATTTTTTTGGAATTGTCTGTGAAGAATAGGGGTTAGCTCTTCCTTTAATGCTTTGTAGAATTCTCCAGTGAAACCATCAGGTCTAGGGCTTTTGTGTGCGGGAAGTTTCTTGATTACTGCTTTGATTTTTGTCAGCCTTTACTGGTCTCCTCAGACTATCCGTTTCTTCTTCATTCAGTTTTGGAAGGTTATGTTTTTTCTAGAAATTTGTCTGTTTCACCTAGGTTTTCAAATTTCTCGGCATATAGTTCTTCATAGTAATATCTTACAGTCCTTTGTATTTCTGTGGTATCAGTTATAATTTCTCCCCTTTCATTTCTGATTGTGTTTATTTGGGTCCTCTCTCTTTTTTCTTGATGAGTCTGCTTAAAGGCTTGTCAATTTTCTTTATCTTTTTAAAGAACCAGTTCTTGTATTTATTGATTCTTAGAATTGGTCCTTTAGTCTCTATATCATTCATTTCTGCTCTGATCTTGGTTATTTCCTTCCTTGTACTGGCTCTGAGTTGTCTTTCTTGTTGTTCTTCCAGATCTTGTAGGTGTAGGGTTAGGTTGTTTATTTGAAAATTTTCTGTCTTTTTTAGATAGATTTGTATTCCTATGAACTTCTCTCTCAGGACTGTCTTCACTGTGTCCCATGAGGTTTGACTTGTGAGTTCATTTTCATGTGTTTTCAGAGGCTTTTTTATTTCTTTCTTGATCTCATTCATTCTTGAACCCATTCATTGTTTAATTGCATGCTATCCAATCTCCATGAGTTTGAGTGTTTTTGAGTTTTCTCCTTGAGATTGGTTTCTATTTCAGTCTCTTGTGGTCGGAGAAAATGTTTGATATGATTTCAATTTTCTTGAATTTTGTTGCAGCTTCTTTTGTGTCCTATCAATGTGATTTATATTTGAAAATGTTCCATGTGAATTAGAGAAGAAAATGTATTTTGCTTCTTTGGGATGATAGTTCTATATATATCAGTTAAGTCCATTTGATCTAGGGCATTGTTCAATACCTCAATATCCTTGTTGGTATTTTGTTTGGAAGATCTGTTCATTTTTGACATTGGGGTTTTAAAATCCCCTACTATAATTGTGTTGCTGTCAATATCTTTCTTTTTTTTTAATTTAATTTAATTTTATTTTTTCTTAGATTTTATTTATTTATCTTTAGAAGAGAAGGGAAGGAAAGACGTAGAGAAATACCAATGTATGGTTGCTTCTTGTGCTTCCCCTGCTGGGAACTGACCCCTGCTGGGAACTGGCCTGCAACCCAGGCATGTGCCCTGGCTGGGAATTGAACTGTAATACTTTGGTTCATGGGCCCATGCTCAATCCACTGAGCTACACCAGCCAGGGCTCAATATATTTCTTGAAGTCCTCCAAGATTTTCCTTATATATTTGGGTGGTCCTATGTTGGGTGCATATATATTTACAATGTTTATGTCTTCTTGGTGGATTCTTCCCCTGACTATTATGAAGTGACCTTCTGGGTCTCTTTTTATGGCCCTTTTTTTTTTGAAGTCTATTTTGTCTGATATGAGTATTGCTACCCTGGTTGTTTTTTTCCTGTCTGTTTGCTTGGAATATTTTTTCCAACACTTCAGTATCTGTGTGGGTGTTTTGTTCTGAGGTGGGTCTCTTGTAGCCAGCCTATGTATGGGTCATGAGTTCTTATCCATTCAGCTATTCTATGTCTTTTGATTGGAGCATTTAATCCATTTACATTTAAGGTTATTATTGATAGGTACTTATTCATTGCCATTTTACTTTCTACCTGTGTTCCTTTCTCTCTCACTCTTTTTCTTCCTTTTCTTCAAGCAGTCCTTTTGGCATATCTTGGAGTGCTGGTTTGGTGGAGGTGTATTCTTTCAACCTTCTTTTGTCTGGGAAACTTGTTA